GTATGAGATCTTGATTTGCTGCCAGTCGAGAATACCTTCGAGTATGAAATTCTCGGAAGCGCTTAAAATCTTTGTTGCGTGCTAATTCAGTAATACCAATTATAAGCTGACTAAACCGTTTAAAAAACATATTTCCTGTCACAGGAACAATTTACACAATTATTTACAACATTACACACGCGCGCGCGAGCATGATCAATGATTGACATTGTTAACGTAATTCTAATATCTATTGACTCATAATTCTACGTGAAACTAATTCATATATTTAAAATACCCTGAAATAAGGAATCTAAAAATTACTATTTGTTTATTTGATTGTTTATAATAATGGATATTGTTAGTTTACAATCAAGTTTTGTTAGAAATCATTATTATAGTAATTTTAGACCAATTAAGTTAATAAACTAATTATTTCTGTGATAAAGCACGGGGAACCATAATTTCTTTCAACAATTTGTTAATAACAATTAAGTTAAATTATTATTGAATTATTTTGTTTCTTATGATGGGACAGTATTGATTTTCATCGATAGTAAGGTTGTTAAAGTAGCTTGGAGTCAGATAAATAATAATTTAGTCGAAAAGTGCTAGTTTAACACATTTTTTTCTTACATATTTTTGCACCAACACAAAAAATCAAAATTCGGCTTTCACAGTTCTCTTCAGAATTTATTTCCGAGTATTTCTGTTCAAGAAACATTAAAATCGGTTAAGAAATACGACCTGTAGCCTATTTTGAACAAGTGTTTGTCCGTTCCAGACCACTGTGCGTCGGCGTGCCGACCGGACCTTTACGAAGACCGTCGAGTAGCAGAGATCCGTATAAATCCGCGCCGATTAATACGTGAATCGGGTGATGACTGGAGGGATCGGGATCTGCTAACGGCAAGTCGCGTAAATGCGGCCACATTGCGGCCGGCTTTGTCTGAGTAGCTGTATAAGCTGTGATTCGCTGATACACGAATCCGGAAAAAGGGAATATCGGTCCCTGCTTGTCGCAGGGCGCGAGCGTGAGATTCACTCGAGACCGAGCGACTCCGCTAAATTTCTCTCCAAAGCAATGTATAGTTAACGCGGCGCGATGACGCCTGGTTCGCATAGTCTGGCAAAGAGATTCAGAAATGAAACTATAAGTCGAGCCTTGATCTAACAGAGCACGTACTTTAAATGTGCGGCCCTCGATCGTACTTAGCCTTACATACGCGGTGGCAAGAAGTACGTGAGGCGGCGACGTAACAACGCTTCGCGCAGAATGCACTGTCTGAACGGACGCGGAGAGCGAGGCCGGCGGCTCAGAGGCAACGGCGACTGACGCGGTAGCTTGCGAGGAGAGCGTCGAGTTAATCGCGGAAGGCTCGCATCTGGTACCACCCTCCGTACTCTCGCTGTGAAGCAGCGAATGATGAGCTTGGTGGCATCGATGGCAACGTCCTTTACTCGGGCAATTACTTAAGAAATGTTCGGTTCGCAGGCAGTTAAAGCAGCACTTATGCTGGCGCGCGACGAGTCGATGCTGCTCGACCGGCAAACTCAAAAATTTATTGCACTTTGCCAAACTATGATTTCCGGAACAACGAACGCATTTTACAGGAGACACATTATTGGCGGAAGTACGAGCTTTGTTTCCGCGCGCATTATTCGACGCAGAGTCGGATTGCGAAGGGTAATCCGTGAGACCGCGAATGCGAAGAGTCATGAAGTCATGAATCTCTTTGTACGTAGGATACGCATCCGTCTCGCCTCGTTTCAAGTTCCATTCGTTACGCGTTCGCGGACTAAACTTTTGCGAGATAATATAGACGAGTAGATCGTCCCACTGCTCGACGGGACGCTCGAGATTCGCTAGCGCGGCGAGAGAAGCGGATACATTATCGCGAAGTTTTTTCAATTCCGGAACGTTCTCGTTTTTCATTTTCGGTAAGTCGGCGAACGAATGGATATGCGCGTGAATGATCGCGTTGCGGTTATCGTATTCGTCAAGTAGAAGCTGCCACGCTGCCTCGTAGTTAGCGTCAGAAATTTGTATGTTACTGATTAATTTCGCAGCCTCGCCGGAGAGGCTCGCTTTCAGGTAATGTAATTTCTGCGTTTTCGTTAATGATTCGTGTTTGTCGACGAGGGACAAAAAAAGGCCACGAAAGTTTTCCCATTGCGTGAAATCACCAGAGAAATCCGGAAGCGAAATACGAGGCAGATGCAGTGAAAAACTAGTGTGCGCGTCGCGATATGAAGACTCGTTACCTCGATACGGCGCGCTCGGGGCGTCGCTACTCAGTTTACCGATGGTCTCGTGGAGATGGTCCGCTGCGTCGAAGTAGGCTTCCTCAGCGGCAAGAAATCCCTCTTGTTTGAAGTAGGGGGTCGTCTTCTTTTCCTCCGCTGTAGCCGTCTGCAGCAGCTGGATGTGGAAGGCTTGAATCTTCTCCCACAGAGCCTCCAAGTTCGTCAGCCTCCCCTTCGTTTTGGGAAGCGTGATCTGCGCTTTAGGAAGCTTCTTGAAGTTGACCAGCGCCCTTGTGAGCTGGTCAATTGAGTGGGTTTGGGCAACGAGCAAGCTCTCCAGCTCCGAAGACATGGTCGGTGGATATCTGGATCGAAGCGAGGCTCGTCAGACACGGGCGTGTCGATTTCGTTGTAAAGCGAGGACGTTCAACACGTCTCGGCGATGACTCCGCGGTGAGAAGCAAGGCGAATTCTCGCGGGAGGCGAGGACGTCGGTCACGTCGCTATAATGACTCCGCAGCGAGTAGCAGGGCGATACGCGCGGGAGACAGAGACGTCCAGCACGTCTCGGCGATGACTCCGCGGCGAGAAGCAGGCGAATTCTCGCGGGAGGCGAGGACGTCGCTATAGTGACTCCGCAGCGAGTAGCAGGGCGATACTCGCGGGAGACAGAGACGTCCAGCACGTCTCGGCGATGACTCCGCGGCGAGAAGCAGGCGAATTCTCGCGGGAGGCTAGGACGTCTGGCACGTCGCTATAGTGACTCCGCAGCGAGTAGCAGGGCGATACTCGCGGGAGACTGAGACGCACAGCACGTTACACTGCAGAGCCCTTGATGCACTGGTGGTATTGTTGCTGAGCACAGATCGCAAAGCGTGCGATAAACTGGAGTGGTGTTCGAGCACGAGGCGAGTCGATGGAGCGCGAACGTTTTCGGAGTTACACAGCGCGATCACTTAGAGGCAGTCGAACCGTCTATGCCGTTTCGATTATGACTAATCCGGCTCGAAGGACCATTAAATGTTAGTGGACCGCTCTGGTCGTCGCGCGGTGATATCCGAGGAAGAGTTAAAACCCAGCAGGTTTTATCGTTAGATATAAAAGTCACTTTATTCGAAGTAAACTGTGTCGCTCCACTGTACAATGTCACGCTCGTTAGAGGAGACCTCGCTTGGCTCGACGCCGCCGGTTGCACGCGAGAGATGATCGCGAGTTACGCGCTCGGATTGTGCTAGCGGATTTCAACGCGTGTCGTGTGCGTACTTGTGCGAACTTTGCACTGGGCTGATGCGAACAGAACAAACGTCGCGTTCGTTCCTCCCTTTTCTTCCGGGCCGGAGCAGGCAAGAATTCGCGGCCGGAGCTACGTGTGAGACGGCGAGGAATTTCGAAACGTAAAGCTCCGTGATTGGCTCCAATATGTCTAGCGAAGACTATTGGTCGCCGTGCGGGCGATCACGCGATGCGCACCTGCGAGACGGTGGCGAAAACATCCCAAAAAAAAGAGAAATACACATGTGCGCTGTACGACGAGTTTCGAGCGTTCTCAAAGGAACGCGCTTTCACTTAAGCTGTGCGAATAGCAATCATTGAATTCGCCGTTACTGGCTTCGCGAAGGTTCCATCTGCGAATATTCGATTCGCAACAAGATCACATCAGCGTTGATGAAAACTATGTTGTGACAATACGTATGTTTGCTATAGCTCCTCATGTTTATTTCATTTTTTTAGTATTAAATAAATTGACTAATATAATTATTTTACAGTCAAAAAGAATTCAACGATTGTAGACGGCAAAAGTAATGTTGATGAATTATTGATTGATGCAGTTAAAAGTAAACGTGGCCTTTACGACTTTCGTATACCTGCTTCAGAGAGAACTATGTTGCGCAAAAATGCATTATGGGTAGAAGTTTCGAACATGCTGCAAGGTATGTAATGTATAAGGTATATATAATACTACTATCTTACCATCTGTATAGAATTTTCTTTTATTTTATTATATATGTAATGAATAAGCCTTAAAATCTAATTTGAAGGATCCTTTAGTCCAGAAGAGGCTAAGTCTAGATGAAAGTATCTGAGAGATAATTATATAAAAGTCCGCAAGAAGGTTCAGGCGTACGTACCTAGTGGGTCGGCAGCTACTGCTGCTAATACCGAGAATAAATCAAGATTTCAATATTATGAGCTTATGAACTTTCTAAACGACTCATTGCAAACACGGCCGTAAGTTACTTACTTTTAACATTCACATGTATATCACTTCTGTTATTCGGTCAGAAATTGAAGAGTTTGTCACATATGTTATCATTCATTAATAAATTCCAGGACAGTGAGTTCATTGACAAATACTAGCGCTAAAAGTGAAGTAGTCACTTTACTTAACATAGGACACGAGCAACACAGGAATGGTGCGGTAGCTCGGTCTTCAACGATGCTTCAGATTTCGACTAACAATTCTCCGCCGACACCGTCATCCCTATATGTTCCTTCACGGACGCCAACACCTACAAAAGATACGTTGGTTCCCGATTCCATTGATGTTCTTTCACGAACCCCGACACCAACAGAAGATTTTTCATGGACATCAACTGAAAGAGTACCTCGACGAACACGAGCTACAGGATCGAAACGTTTGTTCATTTATACTTTTATTTGTAGTTTCTTTCAATTTGTCGAGGAAATAACATTTAAATTTTTTTACAGAATCGGCACAAAACTCAATTGACAATTATGAATCGCCAAGTATGAAAAGTAAGTGTTTTTATTTAAGTTCTTTATACATTAATGTACTGTAATAAGACATTACCAGTATTAATACGTCAATGTATAATATTTGCGTTCATGTTTCAGAGAAAAAAATGATGCTACTTTGCAAGCAGCTTTGATAGAAGCCCTGAAAGAACCGGTGATGCAAGCGTGTGATCCAGTGGACGGATTTCTGGCCCGATTGGGAGAAGGCATGAGAAAATTGTCATATCGAGATAGAGCCCGATTAGAGATACAATTTTTGACATTACTATCTGAAATGGAGAATTATTACTCCAGTCGAGATTCCGACACGTCAACGTAACGAATGTTTAAGTAGCAAGAGCCAAAGAATTCGTGCAATATATGAGCGTGCAATTTTTTTATGCGTATTCATGATTTTCTTTATTTATCAAAACAATTTTTTTCGTAAATTTTGTCATAAATTTTGATTTTGTTTCTATGGAGTAAAAACTGTAATAAGGTATTTATTTTAATACGATAAGGTTTTTACGTATGGATTTCGTAAACTTTGGCATAATTTTTCATATAGTACAATGGTAATTTTTTTCTAGTTTGTTATGCTTTTCTGTGATACGTCATTAACGTAGAAGAGAATCCCATACAGCACGCATGTCTAAAAGACATCTTTAAGACATCTTTTAGACATATCTAAAAGACGACTTAAAGACATCTTAAAGATGTCTTTTAGACATGCGTGCTGTATGGGAATGAAATATTATATGCTATTTTGTCATTTTTCTTTAATTTCTACATAAAATGGTTACTTTTCTTGTTTAAGGAGTCATAAAACTGTTTATCGTACTCATACATACGAAACTCCTGTTCTTTTTTTAATTTTGTATGATATATGTTTATTTTTTGTCCTAGGAAATGCATCTTTGTGAAACTAGTAGCGAATGCGGCAGCTTGCACTGACAATGAGTGCACACTAAGGCTTGTTTACGGTCAATTCTTATATTTAAGGATCGTCTTAAATACTTCTTGAAATACTTCTTGACCAGTAAAATAATCTGTATTGTATTCGTACGGATCATTTCTTTGGCTAAATAGTTTTTGGACACGTACTTAAGATAACCACAAATATAAGAGTAGATTCTGAACAAGCCTTGGTGTGCACTCAGTGCGTACGAGTGCAAGCTGCCGAATTCGCTATTACTAAATATATAGTGTGGTAAAACTTTATAATGTTTTAATGTACTGTGGAATGTTTGTTCTTCTTTAAAATTGACCAAAGATTATTTCATAGTTATTTAACTTAAAATGTGATCGCTTGCAGTCACATTACTGTAAAAGTACAAGGTACAAATTAGTTAAATATTGAAGTGTTATCAATATGCGTCCAAGTATAGTATAACAATATGTGATGTATACATTAAAATGTTAAATTTAATAAATGCATAAATAAACTGAACTTCTTTTATTATTAAATGTACATACATTGAGATTAACGTTTTATCCGTATCATTTTTATAGAGATTAGAAACATTTAAAAATCATTGTTAAGAGCTTTCTGCCACTGCCAAGGTATTGCTGCGTCATATTCAAAGTATGACGCAAAGTCGTCCCGGATTTTGGAAGCAAGTCGAGTGTAGGCATTAGATCTGCCAACGTTGTTAATTTCTTGCAATGCACCGCTAATCGTGTTTATGTCATCTCTGGCAGTGCGAGTATATTGCCTTTGGAAGTTGTGCAACTTGTTTTCATTTTTTATTATAAAATTGTGTAAGCATGTAGTTGCTTGGACAATTTTTACTGCAGTGGAGACTGACGAAATTATCAGCCGCCGATAGATCCGCCATCGTGCAGCCATAATTCCAAATGAACTTTCGACTACTCTTCTAGCTCGACTTAAACGATAATTAAAAATTTTTTTTTGACGATTTAATCGGCCACTTCGAGGGTACGGTCGCATCGTATATCGATTCAAAGCGAATGCTTCATCTGCCACTAACACATAGGGTAAAAGAGGTCCGTTAGGTTTCACTGTGCTTTGTTGCGGCAAATTCATTTCGTTTCTCTCAAATCGTCGACCGAAATTTGAGTTCGCAAAGATACCTCCATCACTCTGTCTACCCTCGGCTCCAATGTCGACTAGTGTAAAGCAGTAATTGGCGTCCGAAACTGCTAACAAATTAATACTGTGAGTCCCTTTGTAGTTATAATATACTGACCCACTATTAGGTGGTGCCTGAAAGGCAAACAAAAAAGTTTATCAGAAATTAATCTTCATGCACTTTTCACAAATAAATAGCAAGTAAATTCTACAAAAACTCACCTGAATTATAACATATTTACCATCTATCGCACCTATACAATGTGGGAAATTCCATTTTTTTTCAAATTCGTCCGCAATTTTTAACCAACTGATCACTTCGTTCGGTGGTGGTATTACAGATTCATGAAGAGAATTCCATAATATTTCACATGTCTCAGAAACTATTTTTGACACGGTATTTTTTCCAATTCTAAATGCGTAGGCTATTGAAGCCATACTGTCACCAGAAGCTAGGTAACGTAAACACACTAAAAGCCGTGTGCGAGCCGGTATTGGATCTCGAATAACAATCTGCTTTTCAAGAAGAGGCCCAACAATACTTATCAATTGCTCGAACATTTCTGTAGACATCCTACAGTAGTTGTAAAACATTTCATGGTCTTGCAACTGCATTTCTACGACCAGATTGTCACTGGCTCCTTGCAAACGTCTTCGCAAATGTGTGAATATTGGGCGAACCCATATCCTCTTGTTTTCTTCTTTTTCACGCTCCATTAAAAATTTCCATAACATAATCAGTTTTAATATACTCCGGTTCCCTTTCCGATATTGTAGCGATGATTTTCTCCACTTCCGCAATTGTACGATAATAACAGCCAATACAAGGTTAGAATCCATATTCAAAGCTTCCAGACTCTTGAAAACGAGTTCTTTTAATATATACTTATAACCTAATAAAGACTAAAAAATAGAAAATTTAATTTCTTTAAGTACATGTGAGAAAAATAATAAAATAGCATTTTCTACCTTTACACTTACCAGTAGGCAACAGTTATACATATAGTGTATACTTGTCTTTCGGTTCCAGAGTACCAGTAAAAGTTACGCCATTCTGAAAGTCGGCATTCACATGAAGCGTACTTTGCGAGACGCGTAGGTTACGATAACCAATCACAAATTCGTTTAGCATTTCTGTTATCGTATACAAGAGAAACTCTAATCAGCTATTGGTTATATTAGTTACGCATTTTACGCAATTCAGCAAAATACGCTCCATGTGAATGCCGACTTTTAGAATGGCGTAACTTTTACTTAAATTACTAGAATACGCAGAATACGCTTACGCAGATTACGCTGCATGTGACGGCACCCTGAGTTATAAGTGGCGCGTCGGTTTCGTGCTCTGGACTTGCCGGGGGGCCTCGTGTCGGGGTCTGGCGGGCGTTCCGGCGGTCGGTTCTAATCTCCGTGTGCGCGGAGTGCTCGGGCTCGATCGCGTGTGTGTCGGTGTTGCCCGGGGGACGCGCGGATCGTGGGCGCCGTGATCGGCGTGGCTGTTGGCGTGCGGGGCTTTGCCGCGCTTGTGCGGGCGCGCGGGGCGGAGTTTGGGCGCTGGCTTTTGCCGTCGTCGAGTGCTTCGAGCCGCCGTGTGTGGGTTCGACCGGGCGGGGGGGGGGGGGTCCTGTGCAGGTGATCCTGAGTCGTGTCGGTTGTGTCAGTCGTGTCGTGCATGTCTTAAGAGGGTATCGGGTGCGTTCACATGCTGCGAGCCGTTAGGGTCGGTTTCTACGTGACGACGCGCGCTCTCGTGCGTTCGTATCTCCGAGTGATTATTTCGAGACTCCGGGGAACGTGGACATCGCTCTCGTCGGCGGGGTCAGTGTGCGCCATATTCTTGGTGATCGCGGTGGCGCTCGTGATCGCGGCGGCGCTCGTGATTGGGTGGCGTTCTTGAGCGGGTGGCGCTCTGGGATGGCGCGCGTGCTGCGCGGTGTTTCGCTTGGGCGTTGTCGCGTGGCGCTTGAGATGCGCCTGCCCTGTCATTTCAAGTTCGGACTTCGAGTTGAGTACTGACCCTGTATAAAGACGTTTGTTCGGAGTACCGTGTGCTACGGGCGGTGATCGCGCGTTCGAGACGGTTGGAGTCGTGCGGTCTTGCTCGGTTGGCTCGCGGGATGTGCTCGTGTATCGACGGAATTAGAGTGATTTCACCCTGTCTAAATACTGTATATATTTGTATTATATATTGTGTCGTAATTAGTGACGGGCAAAGGTAAGGCTGTACGCCCGTCATTAACTTGTATGTTTCAGGTAGACGGGTGTGTTTGCCTTTCTCGAGGCACGCACGGGGAAATAAATTTCTGCCCTGCCTCGCTATACAACAGTGGAAAAATTATTTTATCTTACTGTGTGTGTTCCTTGCCCTTTTTCAGGAAAAGTGCTACGGGTGACGCGAGTGCGGGGGGCGGTTTTTTCTCGCGTGTGTCATTCCGGTGACTGAGACGATTCTGGGGTTAGGTACGTCGCGACTCGAGAGGAGAACTTGGAGTTCTTTGCGGGTTAACTGGTGGATACTGGCCGGGGTGTGGCGAGTGGTTATTTCCGCGGGATACGCGTCGAGGGGTCACGTAATTGGCGCAGGGGAGAACGGGGGTGCGTGTATGCGATTTCCGTTCTCCCTAACCCCTTGTGGCTCTGCTCTAACATTGGGGGAATTAGAGTCTTCGCGCTTTGGGAGTGGACGCGATTTTGTCGCGGGGTTAAGGCCGTACTTGCTTGCTGACGGGACTGACGTGGCCAGCTGTGATCGAGCCATGCCTTTCGGTTTCGGCTTGGGGCATCGGGACTCGGCATCGACATAGCTTCGAGCAAACATTAATGGGGTTAGAAAATCGCGTTTCTATACAAGGGTGGTGCCTCTCGTGTCGCGATTCGCTGCCCCGGAACGTGAGGTAGCGGCACGTTTGTGGTATATCGATTTTTATGTGGTAAAGATAGCTTCGTGGCAGGGTAATTGCGGTTGAGGTTAGGTACTCCTGCACTCGACGTCCGACGATAGCGAGGCGCATCACCGGTGGCTTCCGACAGGCGGGGTGGTGTCCCCCTGTCACGTATGGGATAGCGATCGCGGTAGGGAGTTTTCTGAGGGGACAGTAGCGGAGGATCGGTCTGATCGTTTACCCGGAGCCTCCTGCCGCTATCGCGGTTTCGTTCTTAGCGGAGATGGTTATGGGTGGTACGGCGGGTGCCTTGGCCGCGAGTAAAGCAAGGCGGGTTTGTTCTTTTGCGGTTGTGTTGCTCAGGTCGGCCTGTGATACAGGGACATACGCGGGAATC